AGAAAGAATGAGTCTGGTGTAATTTGAAACACAAGACATCTTGCCCTGGTTAGGAAGACTACAACCAGGTGACTTCTCAGTCTGCTGCCAAGGTCCAACTATTGATAATAGTAATACTACTACTACTACTACTACCTCTGTCTTCGAAGGATTTAGTTTCAATCGGCTCCCACGAAACCATCCCGCCACAGCTTCCAAGCATCTGGTCAGTGTGTTCGGGGCCGAGTCAGCGTGGCCATCCATCAGCAGATAGAGCTGAGTGTCATCAGCATATTGGTGACAGCCCAGCCCAAAGCTCCGGACAATCTGGGCAAGGGGGCACATAAAGATGTTAAAAAGCATCAGGGAGAGGATTGCGCCCTGCGGCACTCCACACACCAAGGAGTGGCGCGACGACATTTCCCTCCCTAGTGCCACCCTCTGTCCCCGACCAGAGATAAAAGAGCACAGCTATTTACGGGCTATGCCCTGTATCCCCACATCGGCGAGGCGGTGGTCCATTGATAGGCATCTTCAAGGCCCCTTCGTCATGGCAAGAATAGATAGCTGCACACATATGAGAGGGGAGAAACTTGGGTTGCCAGTAGGGCACATGAAAAGGATCTAGGGGTCTTAGTGGACCAGAAGCTTAAAATGAGTCAACATTGCGATGCAACAGCAAAAAAGGCAGTGCTATTCTAGGCTGCATCAACAGAAGTCTACTGTCCAGGCAAAGGAAATAATAGTATCACTCTGTTCTACCTGGGTCAGACCTGGTGTACTGTGTCCAGTTCTGAGCGCCATAATTTAAGGATATTGACAAGCTGGAATGTGTGCAGAAGAGGGTAACCAAGATGGTGAAGAGTCTGGAAACGAAGCCTGATGAGGAATGGTTAAGGGAACTGGGTATGTTTAGCTTGGAGAAGAGAAAACCGAAAGGAGATATGATAGTTATCTTCAAATATCTCAAGGGTATCACATGGAAGAGGGAACAAGTTTGTTTTCTCCTTCTTCAAGTTACAAGAAAGGAAATTCTGACTAAACATTAGGAAGTACCTTCTGACATAAAAAAGGCAAAGGGACCCCTGACCCTTTGGTCCAGTCACAGACGACTCTGGGCTGCGGCACCCATCTCACTTTACTGGCCGAGGGAGCCAACATTTGTCTGCAGATGGTTTTCCAGGTCATGTGGCCAGCATGACTAAGCCGCTTCTGGTGAACCAGAGCAGCGCACGGAAACGCCATTCACCTTCCTGCCGGAGCAGTACCTATTTATCTACTTGCACTTTGACGTGCTTTCGAATTGCTAGGTTGGCAGGAGCTGGGACTGAGCAATGGGAGCTCACCCCGTCACGGGGATTCAAACCACCGACCTTCTGATAGGCAAGCCCTAGGCTCTGTGGTTTAGACCACAGCGCCACCCGCGTCCCTCACTTTCTGACATACATGCTGTTCAATGGTGGAGCAGGCTTCCTTCATTGGAAGTATTTAAGCAGAGGTTGGATGACCATCTGTCATGGATGCTTTAGTTGAAATTCCTGCATTGTAATCTTTTGTGTTTTATTTCTTTGCTCCATCTTTTAATTATTTGGCGCTGCAGTGTTTTATCCTCTTGCTCTGATTTGTCTTGATGTTACGGTTTTGCTGCTTATTGGACTTGCAGTTGCGATTATTGTGATTATTATTATTATTATTTTACTATGTCAAGGTTTTCCCTTGTGTGCTGTCTAGGCAACTATTGTTATAGGCCAGCTAATACACTGAACAATGGGTGTGTGGGTGTGTTATGCAGACTCATCTCAAATCCTTTGCTATATGTAACTGCATCTCTACAATTTATTTTCTCTATTGAATATGCCCTGAGTATGGTTCTGTTATTTTTGACATGGTAATATGTTAGCGTGTACATATATTTATGACAAATAATAAAAAGAAGGTGTGTGGGAGATAAACTATGTATGTAAATAAAATAAGACGGTAAAAGATATGTTTCTTTAATGGAAACTGTTTTTTTATAAATATCTACAAGAAATTGACATGAATATATAACAGGAGCAGACCAGCCAGCTATCATTATTTCATTATCTATAATCTGCCAGGGCACTCTCATTAATAGTAGCAACTATAATACCACAGATTCATAACTTGTGTTTGAGATACACTCTCTCTCTCTCTCTCTCTCTCCCCCCCACTTTGAACAAAGTTTATCCATTTCGTCCCAAAGTTGTCTTGTTGATTATTGTTTCTGAGTTGTTTTTTTGCCATTATAGTAAATTCCCAAACCTTCTCATACCATTCCTTGATATTAGGGATGCCCACCTGCCTCCCTTATTTTGCATATATCATTCTAGCAGCTATTAGGATACCAGTTCTCTGTGCTCTCTCTTAAAGGTAAAGGGACCCCTGACCATTAGGTCCAGTCGTGACGACTCTGGGGTTGCGGCACTCATCTCGCTTTATTGGCCGAGGGAGCCAGCGTACTGCTTCCGGGTCATGTGGCCAGCAGGACTAAGCCGCTTCTGGCAAACCAGAGCAGTGCACGGAAACGCCGTTTACCTTCCCGCCAGAGCGGTACCTATTTATCTACTTGCACTTTGATGTGCTTTCGAACTGCTAGGTGGGCAGGAGCAGGGACTGAGCAACGGGAGCTCACCCCGTCGCGGGGATTCGAACCGCCGACCTTCTGATCGGCAAGTCCAAGGCTCTGTGGTTTAACCCACAACGCCACCCGCGTCCCTCTCTTACTGACCCTTTTAATAGTTAAGGAAGACAAAAACGGGATGCATTGATGCAGCATACCCCAAAACTCACAGAAATATATTGTTACAAAGGTTGCGCACCACCCTGATCTCAGCCAAGTGGTACCCAAGATTCCAGGGAGTTCCAGGCACTCACCCAGGGTTGTGTTCCCATTGAAAATCAAGAGGCATCAGAGGCTGTAGTGTGTTTAGGAAATATGGTTTAATTACACGTATTTACACCTGAGTTGTCCATGGAGTTTTCTTGGCAGGGATACTGGAGTGGCTTGCCGGTTCCTGCTCCAGGAGAAGCTGATCGCTGAAGAATCGATGCTTTTGAATTATGGTGCTGGAGGAGACTCTTGAGAGTCCCATGGACTGCAAGAAGATCAAACCTATCTATTCTGAAGGAAATCAGCCCTGAGTGCTCACTGGAAGGACAGATCCTGAAGCTGAGGCTCCAATACTTTGGCCACCTCATGAGAAGAGAAGACTCCCTGGAAAAGACCCTGATGTTGGGAGAGATGGAGGGCACAAGGAGAAGGGGACGACAGAGGACGAGATGGTTGGACAGTGTTCGCGAAGCTACCAGCATGAGTTTGACCAAACTGCGGGAGGCAGTGGAAGACAGGAGTGCCTGGCGTGCTCTGGTCCATGGAGTCACAAAGAGTTGGACACGACTAAACGACTAAACAACAACAACAAATCACTTGTCTTTATTCTCGGATGCCACCTCTCTATGCCCAGCTCCGGAGGAAGCTGGCTTGACTTCAAACCCCGCATTTACTATTTTCATAAATCATAGGGAACACCTGGCACCCAGTAATTTTAGAGGATCCTTGCCTACTGCAAATCCAAAACAATATTATGACTATGGCTGTCAATATCACAGATAAGGCATCTGAATGTGTAGGGACTCCACATCCCATATTACTTCCTGAGTTGCTTCTTTTATATTCTGAGACATTTTGTTTACAACATTTCTCACTGCTTGGAAATGTTAGCAGCCCACAATGCAATGCAAAACAATGCAAAGAGTTTCCCCACAATATTTTGTCTCTGTGTGAAAAAGAATTCTCCTCTATTTCTCACCTACTGCACATGTTTCACGTAGTAGTGTATTGGCTGCAATCAAAACCTATAATCCAGTGGTGTGCAGTGAAATTTTTCAAAGAGGAACAGTTAGGGCCAGAGGCGCCAGCTTGCAAGGGAGATGGGGCTGGGGCAATGTCCTGACATCACGCAAGTGAGCATCACGCCTCCCTAAGCTGCGCAGAAACTTCCTGGGTTTTGGGAAGGAGGCGCCAGGCTCCAATACTTTAATACTCTAATCTACCCTGAACATTTAGGGGACTAGCCTTGTCCTGCTAGTCCACTAAGGACGCGGGTGGCGCTGTGGTCTAAACCACCGAGCCTCTTGGGCTTGCTGATCGGAAGGTCGGCAGTTCAGATCTGACCAATGAGGTAAGCTCCGTTGCTCTGTCCCAGCTCCTGCCAACCTAGCAGTTCAAAAGTACACCAGTGCAAGTAGATAAGTAGGTACCGCTGCGGAGGGGAAGGTAAACGGCGTTTCTGTGCGCTCTGGTTTCCGTCACGGTGTTCTATTATGCCAGAAGCAGTTTAGTCATGCTGGCCACATAACCCGGAAAGCTGTCTGTGGACAACGCCGGCTCCCTCGGCCTGAAAAGCGAGATGAGTGCCACAACCCCATAGTCACTTTTGACTGGATCTAACCATCATGGGGTCATTTACCTTTACATTTTCTAGTCCACTGTCTGCATGCTACTGCTGCAAACCACCATGCTGTGATGTGTATGTGTATGGATAGGGCAGAAGTCTCACTCCACGCAGCCCAAAACAACTGTGCTGGTCTCTGCTGGTGCGCCTCTCTTTTCCTGTGTGGAGTTCCCTGTCTCACCTGCCAGAAGTGTGAGCAGGTGGAAGTGCTGTGGCTGTAGCCCACAGAATGCCACCAAACAGGGTGCTCTGTGAGTGGAGAGGAGCTGAGCCAGCCTGTTGCCCTCCGTTGACCAAAATGAGCCCAATGCAGGACCGATCACTATGCTAACTCCAGACTGGCACAGCTTCAGATGTCGCTTTGCCTGCCCTGCCTTCTGCCCCAGTATGATCAATGGGGCTGTGGATGTGGCACTAATTATGCCACACACCATTATGCCCTTCTGCTGTCCAGACAAGGTTAGGATTGCTCTGCCGGTTGTGAAGATACCGTGGTTTCATCAGCCGACAAAACACAATGGTTTACATGTAGAAAGAAATGAGCGGTGTAGGGTAGCTCGGTTGGTAGAGCATGAGGTTCTTAATCTCAGGGTCGTGGGTTTGAACCCCACCTTGGGCAAAAGATTCCTGCATTGCAGGGGGTTGAGACTGGATGGTCCTTGTGTAAGGTTACCAGACGTCCCCATTTCCCGGGGACAGCCCCCAGATTGACACATCAGTCCCCCGACAAAATCCATCTAATAATAATAATAATAATAATTATTTATTTATACTGCGCCCATCTGGCTGAGTTTCCCCAGCCACTCTGGGCGGCTCCCAACAGAATTAAAAGCACAATAAACCATCAAACATTAAAAACTTTTCTAAACAGGGCTGCCTTTAGATGTCTTCTAAAAATCTGGTAGTTGTTTTTCTCTTTGACATCTGGTGGGAGGGTGTTCCACAGGGCGGGCGCCACTACCGAGAAGGCCCTCTGTCTGGTTCCCTGTAACCTCACTTGTTGCAATGAGGGAACCACCAGAAGGCCCTCGGCGCTGGATCTCAGTTTCCAGGCTGAACAATGGGGGTGGAGACGCTCCTTCAGATATACTGGACCGAGACCGCTCAGGACTTTAAAGGTCAGCACCAACACTTTGAATTGTGATCGGAAACGTACTGGGAGCCAATGCAGATCTCTCAGGACTGGTGTTATGTGGTGCCGGCGGCCACTCCCAGTCACTAGTCTAGCTGCCGCATTCTGGATTAATTGCAGTTTCTGGGTCATCTTTAAAGGTAGCCCCATGTAGAGCACATTTAACAGAAATTGGAAAGTGTCCCCGGACCCATTGAAAAAAAAATCTGGTAAACTTATCCTTCTGGTCACTTCCAACTCCACAATTCTATGAGTCCTCTCTGGCCCATTCATTGCATTTGAGCTGTTGTACAGAATAGGCTTGTGAGAATGCCTCAGGCATCTGTGTTGGCTTTTGTTGACGATGTTATTTGACTTGAAAGAAAAAGTATATGCATTTTAAAGAAATATTGGAAATACTGATAAAGTCCAAGCTCCCCTCTACTGTGGCTACGCCACTTTCTGATCATGTATGCTGCATGGAGCCAGAGACCTGTGTCAGTTATACTGATGCCAACAACAACAACAAGGTTTGGGTTTATTTGTTGGCTGTTTCCTCCCCCAGCTGCATGGTTGCTGTTAGAATTCCTGCTCCATGATTGCAGTCATGGGATTGTTGTCTATCACATGATGGTGTATGTTTTGACTCCACAGAGTGGGAAGTGACGTAGACAGGATGTTTGTGTTACTGTGTTCCGTGAAGTGGGACTATTGTCCTTTGTTCTTTTTCTCTTTGCTGTCTGATGCTAGAGAGAGAGGGAGCCATGTTGCAGTGCTCCGTGTGTGTTTATATGTAAATAAAGTAGATTAGCCAAAATGCTGTGTTGCTGAGGTCTGTAACGTGCATGTTGCGCAAACTCTGCAGATCCCTAAGTGTGCCTGTGTCAGTTGGCATTGGTTGCTGTGATGTTTGGGCTGAAGAAAGCTTTTGAAGCTCCCGAACGATCGACCAGGAGGGAGGGGACATGCCAGTCGGGCATGTGTCTCTGCCAGGGTCCTACTCCAGTGTAGGCTGAACTCTTGACAGTTGCTGTGCAGGGATGCCTGGGGCCACACACATCCCTCTCCCCTCTTCTTAATAGAGAAAATAGCAGCTTCACTGCCCAGAAGAGTCAGTCTGTTCCCCATCTGCTATGTGCAGAAGGGACGTTGTCACTAACAAGCCACCAGCAAGGATATTGCACAATGACTCAAATGATATCATGGCACACTTTTCAGGGACCGTTCAGGAAGGCCCTAAGAAATGAAGGAAGCAGAAGGAGTTTAACTTTAAAAGGGACTGACAGCTTACGGACTTTATCTTCCACTGAAAGTCAACATATTCCCTGGGGCTGCTTTAAAAGTGCTTGCCTTGTACAAGGCTGCAGAGGGAAATTTATGCGTGCCAGCGATTAATTTCCCCAACTTCCATCTCTAGTCCAAACCGAGTGGCCTGACATCCTTTCCTTTATTGCAACGTGCACTTTATTGTTCAGGTTTTCGTAACAGCAAGGGACAAATGGTACGGAAGGCCTTAGGAACATTGTAGTGCAATATCAGCACAATTATCCATGTTCCCTCCAGGGAGACAACAGAATTTGGAAAGATGTTGACTAGCGATGGAAAAATACCAGATGGTCTTTCTCAAGGAGAACGAAGACGGGTTGCCACCAGATTGTTAGCAGTTTACAAGGAGGGACGCAGTCACCTGCTGGGAATTTACGTTTGCTCAGTTGAAGTGGATTGAAGTGTTCTGGTGCAACAAACCCACTTAAAGCAACAAGAACAACAGCCTTTTTGTGGCTGGGAAGTGAGGGCGAGGCACACTAAAAAGTGTGGGGAGAAACAGTTGATTGACAGGAAGACAAAGCATAGAGCCTCCATGCAAGCATATCTGGAACCCTGGGATGGCAATGATAGGAGACAAAAGAGAATTATTGGCATCCTTCCTGCACACACAAACACCTCCAGTGCGGAGAGTAATAACTTCTTTGTGCATTTTTTTTTCATACGCCACAGTAGAGCCTTGACCACAGAGCAGAACATTATACCAATGCTTGGAAAGTTAATTTATGAAAGGAACTACTGTATTTCGCTCTATAAGACGCACCAGACCACAAGACGCACCTAGTTTTTGGAGGAGGAAAACAAGAAAAAAAATATTCTGAATCTCAGAAGCCAGAACAGCAAGAGGGATCACTGCGCAGTGAAAGCAGCAATCCCTCTTGCTGTTCTGGCTTCTGTGATAGCTGTGCAGCCTGCATTCGCTCCATAAGACGCACACACATTCCCCCTTACTTTTTAGGAGGGAAAAAGTGAGTCTTATAGAGCAAAAAATACGGTTGTTCTAGTTCAGGTTAATCTTGTCCAAAAATGGAACTAGATCAAGTTCATTGTTTTATAAAACATGTGCTGTCCAAGTTCATCCAAATGAACTGTTTAGTTCACAAAAAGTTCATCCTCGGCATTCCGCTCCCCCAGCATTCAGAAAGTTACAAGCTGCTGTATAGAGTTATACTTTTGAACTCTATAGGGCCACATACATGCAATAACAGACAGAATGTCAACAGGTGAAGCTTCCCCCATAAGTATTTCCATTCTAGAAAATGCTTACCTTGTTTAATTTGTGCCAATCACACAGCTGCTAAAGACACAATGAATAATTTGCTTTGTTTCTGCTCTGGTACTTCTCATTGCAAGCTGCTCCTGTTGGAAGAGAGTGAATTTCTTCAGCAGGGAAGATACAGGAATTGCCTCACTTTCCTTCCTTCTGAAGGAACAGTGACTAAGTGTATTCTCAAAAGCAGCACCTCTGTATCTGTGTCATAAGCCTTAGAATGTTGCTGCCACACTTTTGTTTTCTAACTTTCTTTACAGATATCTGATGGATTTTTTTTTTTAATATAGAAGAAAATGAGTGCAAGGCATCCAGGCCTCCTGTAGGGGTAGAGGAGGAAATGAATGTGAAGATTAATTCATTCAAAGTTCTACCCCAAAATGAACTACATTTACCTTTAGTCCACCTGACAATTCTAGGAACGAAATAGTTCCGTGAACTTTGCTCAACTGAGCTAATTCATTCCGAGCACATTGTTTTGTTGGGAGCATGGGTCTCTCCAACAAAACGTCTCTAGGATGCAGCTACTTTACTTTTGAGCTTGTTGACACCCCCACCCCACCAGTGTTTGAATGTGTGTAAAGTAAAGGTAAAGGGACCCCTGACCATTAGGTCCAGCTGTGCCCGACTCTGGGGTTGCGGTGCTCATCTCACTTTATTGGCCGAGGGAGCTGGCGTACAGCTTCCGGGTCATGTGGCCAGCATGACTAAGCCACTTCTGGCGAACCAGAGCAGCGCACGGAAACGCCGTTTACTTTCCCGCCAGAGGGGTACCTATTTATCTACTTGCACTTTGACGTGCTTTCAAACTGCTAGGTTGGCAGGAGCAGGGACCGAGCAACGGAAGCTCACCTCGTCGAGGGGATTCGAACCGCCGACCTTCCGATCGGCAAGTCTTAGGCTTTGTGGTTTAACCCACAGCGCCACCCGCGTCCCTTTGAATGTGTGTAGGTCACCTCAGAAATAACATATTTCACATTTTAGCAATTCCAGAGATAACCTCTGTCTATCTCCCAGCTCTGAGTTCTGATTAAGGACACATTCCCCTTCCTAGACCAATAAATCCAATCCTGTAGACTTTATAGCAAACACATCCTGCAGGTATGGATCCTTCCATAGCCAAAATAGCACCACCCATACATAAGAGGGGATGGAGGTATCAGGTCCAGAGACCCTCAAGATTTGTGGACACACAAAAATACTTTACAGTGGTGGGGAGGGGCCCCAGCCCCCAATAGCCTAAAGAAGACTGAGCATGCTCAGTGGATGCAGAATGACTCAAGGAGGAAATGGAAAACTTGTGGTGGGAGGTTAATGAAATGGAGTATCCTGTGAAAGGGCAAGGGTGACTGCAGAGGAGCACTCTACAATGCAAAGTTTTGCTGGAGGTCCCAGTTGCCTCTCTATATCTTCAGCCATTAGCTCCTGTTAAGGAAACGTTATCCTGCCCATCCTGGACTATTGCACACAGTCTCCCTAGCAACAGAAAGAGTCTTTGAATTTCTAACAATGCCTCTTTCTTGCCTGGGTGGCGATAAATGGTGTGTGGGTGGGTGCAGCAACCTCGAACTTTTGCACATAACGTACCAAATGAAGGTAGCAAGACAAATCAATTGCCGTTGCCCCTGGTACTACCCATCGCTGCCATTTGGCCCCCAGTATGTTGGTGGCGCTGTGGGTTAAACCACAGAGCCTAGGGCTTACTGATCAGAAGGTTAGCGGTTCGAATCCCTGCGACGGGGTGAGCTCCCGTTGCTTGGTCCCTGCTCCTGCCAACCTAGCAGTTCGAAAGCACATCAAAGTGCAAGTAGATAAATAGGTACCTCTCTGGCGGGAAGGTAAACGGCGTTTCCGTGCGCTGCTCTGGTTTGCCAGAAGCGGCTTAGTCATGCTGGCCACATGACCCGGAAGCG